CACCTCAAACAATTCATTCGATTGAGCAGCGCTCTCACTTCTCTCGAAACTCATGGCCCCCTCAACCAAAACCAAGTACACGCTCAACACAATTCCCAAAACCAAAATAACCCCACAACCCGTTTTTCTCTCCATATTTTCCCTGCAAAAAAATTCAGACTTGGTACGATTCACTCATCATCTAATTTCCACTCATTTTAATAGTCTCTCAGTCTCATCTCCCTCCCAATTCCACTACCAAATCAGTCCCCACCTTCAACTCACCAGTCAACCTACCCAGCTCCAAAGGCTGCAAACTTTCCATAAAAGAAAAGAAAAACACGAACACACATAAAGGAATCATAACATCTATCTATTATTATTGAAACCTAGTTTTGAATACTCATTGTCTTGTCCCGTAGCTGGAAACAACGGCACATTTTTAATCAAGTCTTTTAATTAAGAGCCATATGCTCCTACTAAAGTAGTGTTTGGAATGGAAGAAATTGGGTTAGTTTTCAAGTGGCAAAAAAACCAACTTGATCAAGTGGGACACCATAAAGTATGAAGTAGGGGTGTGGAAGGTACAGCTAGAAAGAAAAGAAAGTGCTGTTTCTTTTCTTTAGCTTAACGAATTGGAATACAAATGGTGGCTGGTGGGGGGATATCCACAGTGACTTCCACATGACAAAAGAATAAACTTTGACATCTCACTCAAATAATCCAAATGGATTGGACGAGAAGGGCCAAAGGGGATATGCCTTTTATATGTATAATGTAAAGGATCGCCATTTCTTCAAGCTTGTGTTTTGCTGTTTCTGTCTCGTCCATTTCTTGCTTTTATATAAAGAATGAGTTTAATTTGTTCGTCTTCAAGGCAAGTTATGCGAAATTATTGCACAATTGTAGGGTCCTCTAAGTAATTATTCAGTTTTCATTATAGTCCTCCAAGTTTTTATAGTTTTGTTATTCCATATGTTTAATTGTAATGAATATGCAAAATTAGTGTATAATCGTTTCGATGTTAATTTTTAATTTTTAATTTTTTTTTGAAAAGAGTTTTGATGTTAATTGATTACACGTTTTGAAAATGTAGAATCCTAGATAGTGGGATAAGAACTGGTGTCTGTTTTAGTTCTATTAGATAACTACTCAAAATCTAATATATTTTTCAATATACCCTATTAAAAAGAAGAGTGAAAAATGAGCGGTGGAAGTGATTCTCATAAGTTTAATTAACGATAGATTTTTCAAATGATTGAGAAAATAAATATCATATTTGAAGTTCAAAGAAAAAAGGGTTATGGACACACATAATCCATTTTTTTTCAAGTACAACATATGTGGTGGGGGATCAACATGTAGTTATGTCAATTACCGCTGAACTATGTCCATTTTGGCGCACATAATCCATTTACTAGTGATGTATTACAATGGATTAAGAAAAACTCTTCTTATCAGATATTTGGTACTTATTCTTATGAACTAATGAAATACCTATGGTTTGAGACATAATAAATTGTCCATCATTTTTTACAGACAGACGAACCGATTTGATAATCAATATTCCCTTTTTCATTAATTCTGTAAGAGTTAAATCCTTCTCAACTATCAGAATATCCATACTTTGAATAGAGGATATAGCAATTTCTCTAGGATTTATCAGTCTAAGCAGGAGACAATTCATATTAATTTAATATTTGCCCTTTTATGAAATTTACTTTATAGTATGGTACAATGTTATATCTTGACACAAATATGCGAATATGTAAATTTCAATTTATTAAACACCATTTTTTAAAAAAACTCAACAAACATAGCTTAGTTGATAAAGTATCTATGAGGGATGCTTCACCCTATTGAACTATAAAAAGAAAAGTCAAGTGAACCATTAAATTATCCTCGAGTTGAACATTGTTTTTCACCTAAAACAAGATTTTCTTTTTCTTTCTTCATTGTTATTAAATCACGAGAATCTGAGTACCCAACATCAAGAACTCAAAAGAAAAAACCTATCACATGATTAGAACAAATCATTACATGTGAGAATATGATGAACGATCGGATTTTTAATTTGAAAGAGGTATTAGGTCTTAAAAATATTTTCCCGTTCAAAGTCAGTGCTGATTTCCCCACCCCACCAGAAAACAGTTTCCTCATACCATACAACAAAAAGATTCATGATAGTGAAAGAGCTCACCCACCCAATTACGTCCTCCCTGCAACTTCACCGCCCCACAGTTTCATTCTCTTAGCGCTGTGATTCTCCATTACGTTACCAATGCGCCAGTCATGTGACATATCGTGTTTGTATTGGCAATTAACGCCATTTCGACACCCTTTAAAGCTATTAAAGTATACGCAATGTTTCTGATTCTTGGGTTTAAAGTTTTCTGCATTCATCTCGTGTACCATATTACGATTATGGTGATTGTCATTATTACCATTTAGTCCATGTTTCTGGTCTCCGTGCTGTCTTACTAAGTTCTTACAGTAGTTAAGATCCTTCAATAGCTGACCTCTTCGCACCGAACTCATCGGTGCTGCTATATTCACCTGTCCCAAAATTGTACCTATTTTAGAATAGTTTCCGGGATTTGGGGTGGTAGTGTTTACCTTGTGGGGATGATCTAGTGCTGAAAATGGCTTAACATCAGATGCTGGAATGGTACTCACCTGAGGAACGGTGGTTACAGAAGACGGAACTCCATTCGACACTTTCGGTAAGCTTCCATTTGGGAGCTTCTGAATCATATTGGAATTTGGAACAGACAAAAAAATCGATCTGTTGCCTCGCTTCAACATGGACATTGGTGCTGCAGTGGCAATGGGAGGGCTCCCAGAGTCCGCTTTGGCTAGAGGAAGAATGTTTATCAAATTCGGAATCATTGTTGGGTCACTGAAAATCTTAATAAGCAAATTGGTGTCGATCATGCTTCCCTGCTCCATGCTTTTCATTAACACAACCACTGCAGCAGAGGCAGCAGCTGCCACGTCCACACCAACATCAGGTAACTTTTCAGTAGGCTTTTCCCCAGCAGGTAAAGTTTCAGTGGAAAATTTCGGGATTGAAGGTTCCAACTGAATGTTGGAAGCCATCATCTCCATAGAGCTCGTAGATAAGCTTTCTACAGCAGCTGAATCTGACTCCATATCTCCACATTCGTCTTCTTCAATAGGAATGATAGGGACAAGAGGGGTGAGGCTATCATTGTAAGGTTCATCTTCAGTATCGGTAGAAACACTTGCACTATAAAGCAAAAGAAAGGGGGAGAAAGATTATTGGACAAACAGATCTTAGAAAGATTGAGCTTCCAAATTGATATTTAAATCACGAAAGTATCAAATTACCAGGGTGGAATAGCAGATGCTCGGGGATAAATTGCCTCAAGAAATCTCCTTTCCCTCAATTCTTGAGATTCCACCTCTTTGCTCTCCTCTCCTGCTGCCACACGCCAGTGGCAACTCATAACAAACTGTTCAGATAGAAATGGTATTGCAATTCGACGCATCAGAAAAAGATGCAAAATGACACAAGAAGATTGAGAAATACTTGGGCATTTGTGGGAAGTATCTAACAGTGCTAACCTTGGGAGGATAATTCCACTTAATAAAAGGGATGCAGGACAGATCTGTTAATTGGTTACCCATATGGGTAACGTCGAACCCAGGGGGGCAATCATTAGATTCCACGGTATATGGATGCAACATGGAGGAGGTTCTTGCTTGGAGATGATCAGGAGATTTCAGGCCAACTTTTGAAGGGCAGTCTTCTGATGAGAATAACTTCACCTATTTAAAAGTATAATTATTCACCATTGTTTGGCTATCACGGTACATAAATTTGCACGAATGAAGAAAACCACCAAAACTAAAAACTCTTGCAACCTCACTCGAGGACAAAGCAACAAGGAAAAGCATCAAACTAATGAATACTAGTATCTGTTTACTCACTCTGCAACATCCAATTCTAACACACAAGTAAGAACAAGTCAAAGAAACTTCTCCTGCATCACCCGTTAAGGCTTTGCCTCCAATCATAGGGCATAATACATGAGCCAGTACACAGATATTCTCCGAATGATAATATGAAGAGAATCAGAAAAAGAGGAATGTTTTGTGTTCGTATAATGTGGAAATTAGGTATTTAGACAAGTGATAATCGAGGAGTGAAAACAGAGAGTATATGAGGAAAGAATATTTTCTGGAAAAGTAATTTAACATGGTAGATGTTGGATTGCCGCATCATCCATTAGTTAAAAATGCAACTCTATACATGACTAACATTCTAATTGAAGAAATAATAATATATAGATATATGCTCAAGTACAAGAATCTGTATGCTATCAGTCTAACAAGGAAGTGGTTGGTTTTTACCTCTAGCATTCAAATTGAAGAAATAATAATTCCTAAAAATAGAAAAATAATGTTTAAGTTCATGTTTATAAGAAAAAAAGAACGGGGGTTCTTACTGATTGTCCAAAGTCCCGGTCCTTCGAGAAAATTTAATTTTAAAAAACTGCTATTTGATTCATATCAAAGAAGGGTAAAAAATATAGCGCGAGGTAGTTGGGTTTCTTCTATATAAATTGGTTCGGCAAAAAAATTCTCTCCTAAATTAGTAGATTTTATTGTTCTCTTAGTTAAAACCAAAAATCACAATATACTTCCGTGTGGCAAAAAATCTGGAATTCATTCCAGATACTGCTCATGAGCAAAATTCATTGAATTCTTTTTGGATCAGAAATTATTCATTTAATACCTGGTTGTAGGTCAAGAGACGTGTAGTACTGGTAAGTTTGTAACTTTGTTCTTAACAATATCGTACTTTGTTCTTAATCAAACCATATTTTCACTTGATCTTCAGAGGATTCGCAAATTTCTTAATGTAACATTGATTTTTTAAAGCTAAAAACGCCTCTTGTATCTTTTAAATGGACTGCGGTTAGATTTTGTTCCGTATAATGATGCAATCGTGTTTATTCGCAAGGGGAGATTATATCTTAATTACTTGTTCCACCAGCGGTATTTATTTATTAATTGCTCTTGTTCTCAAGATCACGAATTCCATTAGCAACAGAACGTCGTAAATCCTGTAAACTCTTGGAAAAAACATTGCCCAAAACCCAGTAATTTTACTAATTTCTAAATGATCTAAAATTCACTTTTGATATTGTAAAAGAAAATCTTCTTATTTCTCCAAACAAAAGGAATGGAGGAATTTATGGCTATGAATAACTAAACTAAATCTGTGAGGTTAGAATAACTTCGATCAATTGGATAAAAAAAAAGTAGGTATAAAGATCTTAATGATTTTATAAGAAAACGAAACTCCGATTAGAAGATATCACGATTATACCTGACAAAGATTAACTCCATGAGCCCACGAAACACCTCTCGATTTCCTCGACCGCTTCATCTCTAAATCTCAGATCAAAGACGCTCTTAACTCAAATCAAAATCTCAGATTAAAGAATACAGCCAAACAACCGATCGATTGCGAATAGGATAAAGTACTAACAAACGAAGATATTGCCCTATTTTGAAAAACCACAACCCTCAGGTCGATCCGAGGATCCGATTCTAGGAGCTTCGGATTTAGAAACTCAAAATCGAAACGAAGAACGATAGAAGAAAATAGAATGCGAAAGGACGAAAGAAGATGCGAGTGTGCAAAAGAGGAAGAAACCCTAGAACCAACGACTGGGGTTGCCAATGGCGGTGGATGAGAAGAAGAAGATCTGCTATTTTGAACCCTGACGTGACGGTGAGATTGAATTGGTACGTAGAGAGAGATATATATAGAGACGGCGGTTGCGCCTTTGTTTGCAGCGCGTATTTGACCCTAAAAACGGACGGAATTGTAACGCTTATTGGATTCTTAAAGTGGCGGCGGCGATTCGTATCCCAACTAATTGCGATTAGTTACAGGCTAAATAAAGGAAGCCCTTATATTTCCCGGCCCACTAAGCCGAGGCCTGTTTTTAATTTTGGGCCGGCATCAACGCTTTTTCTTTTTTTCTTTTCCTTCTTATTAGTATATACACCCAAACCAGTATAAAAATTAAAACGAACCAAAGCTAAAGTATATAGAAGAAAATGAATATGAGGACCAAAATAGTAATTTAAAAATTAGCTTCTACTATTATTTTTTATTTTCTTTTTTAGTTTTAGTCTATCAACTTTCCCTGATCTTAAAATTAGTCTTTACTAACTTTAACTAAAATAATTTAGTTTGAAGAAATTTTGAGAAACATATTCAAATTGTATTTCTTTTAATGGAAATTATTATTATTATTTTTGCAAGTTAGATAACATTTAAGAATATATTTTAAACATTTGAAAGTACAGATATTAAAATGAAATGAATTACAAAGTATATAAACCAAAATAATATTTTAACTTTTATTTTATAATCAAGTCACTTCTATAATATGATATTTGTACAATTATCCTTGAAACAAGTTGCTACCTTCACATGTCAAAGCGATCGTAGTTCAGCGGTAATTAACCTATACCTCCAATCATGAGGTTGTAAGTTCGAATTCTCTCCCTGGCCACATACCTTATGAATTAATTTCGATGTGTTTTGTGCTGAAAGTTTCAAAGCAAACAGCTACCAAAGGATCACATGCAAAGGAGTTTCAGTCAATGAAGGGAGAAGATTTGAATCGTGGCAAAAAATTCTAGATTTTTGGGGGATTTTTGCAATTGATTTTATTGTAGATTTGAATCGCGAGGTTGTTGCACCATGGGTGTTGTCACCACTGCAGAATCGATGTCGTGGAGGGACGTCGCTAATGCAAGGGAGTCACACCGCCGTGGAGGGATGTCACCACCACTACTGTTCGAATATGGGAACAGCATCGTCAAGCTCTCCAGATCATCGTTTATGATGGGTTGCGTTGTCACGAGTTTGTCGTTGCTTGGGTGTCGTCAGAAAAAGGGGGTGGTTTTAGGAAGTTTATATGGAATTTAGTTTATATTCGGATATATCCGAGGGTTGTAGTTGGAGAGTGAGTTGAACACTGATCTTAGGAAGTTTATATGAATTTTAGTTTATATCTGGATATATACAAGTGTCATAGTTGGAGGGTGAGTTGCTAACAGTGATTTTAGGAAGTTTATATCCAGATATATCTAAGGCTGTAGTTGGAGAGTGAATGCTAATAGTAATTTTAGGAATTTTATATGAATTTTAGTTTATATCTGGATTTATCCAAGTGTTGTAGTTGGAGAGTGAGTTGAAAACTGTGATTTTAGGAAATTTATATGGAATTTAGTTTATATCTGGATATATCCAAGGGTTGTAGTTGGAGAGTAAGTTGCTAACAATGATTTTAGGAAGTTTATATGGAATTTAGTTTATATCCGAATGTACATAAGGGTTGTAGTTAGGGAGTGAGTTGCTAACAACGATTTTAGGAAGTTTATATGAAATTTAGTTTATATCTGAATATATCTGAAGGTTGTAGTTGGAGAGTGAGAAGCTCACCGACTGGAAGATGTTGGGTGATAATGATTTGGATATTTTTGTAATTAATAATATTGGTAAATTAAGAAAATCAATCTTTTTGAAATAGTAAATTAAAGTTCTGAATCAGTGAATTAAGAGGTTTGGGTTGAAAATTTGTATGGGGCCCACGATAATAAAAGATTATGATAATAATTTATGGAATTAAATCTTTTATATTTTAAAAAAACAAATAACTGCAATAAATAAGGGTATAATCGGAATTAAAATAAAATATTGCACATAGAAATCTAAAAGTGTAAAATTAGAAAATTTTAGATAAATAATTTTTTAAATCAGCCCTCGAAAACATCATCTCTAAAATTGAAGGTTGTTCGGCCAACACCAGCTTAGTGGGCCAATGAAATTGAGCCACCTCGCTCTTCTCCACGGCCCAACAGGCCAAATTTACAAATCGGCCCATTAAAAGAACAAAACCCAAAACCAGCCCGTGATAGACCCGAAAGCTCCCCAATGGATTTGAGGACCCGACCCGACCCGGCATCATTTACTTCTTGTTTGTTTTTTTTCTTTTTTTCCCTTCTCACGCTTTACAAAGGACACACCCTAATTCTTCATTATATCTCTCTCTATCTCAGAGGAAAATGGAAAAAAAAAAAATATGTCTTTCATTTCACTCAATAATTGTCAACAACACACCAAGAAATTTCAATATTTGGCATTTATGGTGACAACACCATGGCTCCTCCTTCGTCAATCTCCCATCCACTCGCCCTTTTTTCTTCCGCATTGGTCATAAAATCTTCACTTGTCTTTTAACGTTAATGACTTCGCTTGTTAACCGTCTCTTTTTTCTTTATTTAATAGCACTGCACCCATTCCAATCTTCAACTTCTCTTTGTCAATAATATAGGTGCATTAATAACTTGATCTTTTAATTTGGATTCACCCGTCAACAAATTTTCTATAGGATGTCAAGGCGAGTTCGATCCTTGGTATTATACTCAAAAAAAGAAAAAAAAAACTTTCATATAGGATTTTTAATCTTGATGTAACAAATCAAACCTCAAAAATAATGTTGAACCTCTCTATCCATGCTATGTTCAAGCTTAAATTATTATTTCATACAAATATAGAAAATTATAATAACTAGCACAAATAAATATTTATTTATAAAAATATCATTCTCTTTAGTTTTTTTTCTTTCAAAAATGTCACAAAAATGACTTTTAATTGATCTCATGTGATGGTATTTTGTAAAATTTTAAACCTAATGTTATATATAAATACATCATAATTCTAAAAAATTATGAAAATCTCAGTCAGATTTTATAAGTAGATTTTTATTTTTATATAATTTATTTAATTTAAAACAAACGAAAATAATACTTATTTTTAAACTTAAAAGGTTAAAGTTGAATTACAAGTTTAGTTCATGAACTTTGAGTATTGTGTCCAGGTCGTTTAACCTTTTTTTTCTTTTGATAAAAGGGTCATTTAACTTGTTAATATACTTTAAAAGTGTCTAATAGATTCTTAAAATTTCAATTTGTGTGAAATAGATCATCGAATATTTAATTTTGTGTCTGACCCATTAAAAACTTTTTAAAATCCACAAACATATTAGACACAAAATTAAAATGTCCGAGTCATATTAATTAGACACAAAAATCAGCTCTCTTAATTTTATAAAATGTCAAATAGGTCAAGGATCAACTAGTTACAAAATTGAATGTTGAGTAATATGTTATGGATAAGAAAAAGCTCCAGTCAGCAAAATAGTCTGATCATCCCATTGGTATGCTCTTCCGTGCTCAATCCCTTCAAGAGTTCACTTAAGCTCTCCAATCTGAATTCCATTTATCTAAAAAATTTGAATGGGTACTCCTCAAAAATGAATTTGAATAATTCTTCTTAATCTAAAGTATTCAACAAGATCAAATCCTCGAGTAATTTAGACTCTATTTTCCATAAATAGAAGGAGAATATTCATGATCGGTTCAAATATACGCTGCAAAATTCTACCGAATCCCTTAGAATAGTTGTGTGGATTTAGTCATAAAAGAAAAGGTACGATTATCCCGAAAACTCTTTTAGTGAAAGACAGCAAAATGAGTAGAAGTTAAATGGGGGAATTGACAAAATTTTCCCACATCCATTATTGGATGAGTTTTTTGTGTGGTTCCATAGTGGACACACCACATCAAATTTTGAAAAGTTGTAGCCCTGTTGAATGAAAAAGGCTCCAAACTTAGCAAAGTGGATCCCATTTTCCTCCACATCCACTTCAACCCATGTATGATACATCCACACCACACATTCTACTAACTACATATTACGTACGATCCAAAGAGAGACATAAGAATAGTCTTTGTCCATCATATCATTATATATCGGGCCAAAACCGCCTTGAGTTACACTTAAACAAACATTTACAACTTTATTTTCTTCTATGATGATCTCAACGTGACCTTGCATGAAGTCATGGGCTTCAGTTCCTTTCTCTTTCTTACGGTTTCATTTTTTGTTTCGATTCTTGATAAGATAACAAATTTCCTATATTTTATTTTTATTGTTCTTGTTCGGGAGGTTGCTCCATACTAATTATAAAGATGATATGCTTTGGTATATAAGTAAAGATAATGACTTTATTGACAGTAAATCTTAATCTGCAGGTTTAAGTTCAAAGTAAATAACATTAATGGTTAAAAAGAATGAGGTAGTTGATCAGTCGTTGTATAGACCAAGATTATAGCTATTTGGTTGGCTAGTTGTTGGTTTTTTACTATAAAAAAAATCTCATCACCTACCCATGTTTAAGGCAAGTTTAGTGGGGGAAATTAAATGAGGAAAGGTTCATTTTTGTAGATTTTTTTTTTATTATAAGGTAGATGATGAGGCAAAGTGTGACATGACTTTGCATGTTTTGGTACACTTTGGCAATTTTCCATGTGCGTATTTCGCTTTTTGATTCATCAGTCTTTTTTTCCTATCACATTCTGGCTTACTTTTTTCTTTTTTTTTCTTTTCGGTATACTTCAATGGTGAATATCTTTTTGTAATGATATATTTTGTGTGCATATAATTGTATATACATACATATATTTTATTAAATATCCACAATCAAATATATATGTGAAAATTTCACCCCTCTTTAATTTTTGGAATGGAAAGATTATATAGATTATATGAAAGTATAAAAGGTAAAGTTTTGTCACAATTGCCGTGAAGGGTGAAATGATTGCCTAGAACTTCTTAATTTCAAGAGAAAAGTCTTTTTCAATATTTAAGACCTCATAAAGAAACTTGACTTAGAAATATGAAACAACCTTTAAAATTGAATGCATAAAACAATTT